AATGTGCTATAAATACATGAGCTCCTCATCATAATCAATCATCCCAACATCCCAAAACCAAAAACAAAGAAAAAGTGAGTGTGGGAGAGAAAAAAAGTGAGAGGAAAAATATTTTTCTTTGTGAAAGTGAGTTGTTCTCTTTGAGTGTAATTGGGTTTGGGTGTGTGAGTTGAGAGCTTTGTAATTTCGTCGGAGTCATTGTTCACGACAGAGTTACTGTTCACGACAGAGTAACTGTTCATGACGGAGTTACTGTTCACGTCGGAGTTACTGTTCGACGGATAATATTTCCCGGTTAATAAGAAAAGATCTGCAGCAGGTCCGGAGACGTAGGCAACATTGGCCAAACTTTGTTAACAAATTGTGTGTGTTTTTTATCGTTCCCACAAATCTGATTTATCAGAAAGTTGACGTTATTTCCTAACAAAGTTGTCTTTGAAGGACTCAGATAGATGCCGATCTTTAAGTTTCAGAACTTGTGGCCAACCCATGCGATCATAACAGCCTTTCGTATAACCCGTAAAGAATTCATGAAGACTAATCGGTCCCTCCGTCCATCACAATTTACTAGGTTAGATGGATAATACAAACGTCGAAAATTTTTAGATTAGCTATGACACTAAAGTGATTGCTATGCAAGTATCAAGATAATAAAAATTAAGATTTCACAAATGTAAGAAAAAAACAGACTATAATTAAAGCTACAATGTGCTTATGGCATATGAAAACTTATATAAGAAAGGACACGGACCGTATGAATATAAACATAGAATCTAATGAGTAAGATCTGACCTCACAGAAGTCAAGACAATCAACCACAAGTGTTTCATGCTTGGTGTGGCTTCTCTGACGGCATGCACGATACATTACCATTGGTTCCCAGCTTAAACCAGGAGTAGCTTCTAGCACATTCCTCACAACCACAGGCTCACCTTTTACCCAATGATGCTGAAAATGCTTCAAATCATATTGTCGAACATCACTTACACTTGGACAGTAGAGATAATTGTCTTCTGAAGCATCTCGACAAGCAGTCTTGAACTTATAGTTGGCCATGTCAATATGACCTTCGGAGTTAAAACAAGGGCATTGCCCCATAACAGTTTCTGGTAAATCCAAAAGCTTGGTGGCTTCAGCAGTTTTTCCTACCTTTTTGAGTATATCAGATACCCAATCACTACGAAGTATGCGTTTTAACTTCATATCACCAGCACCACAATAACAAGAAATGCTTCCATTTTCCTTTGCTTTCCACATGGATGAGAGCTTCACACGGTCCTCTCTATTTAGCTTATTATTCGCCGTTTCAACAAATTTTGATGTTCCTCCATGTGCATACTCTAAACCTCGGTTCATATAACTCCAAGATACGTTTTCCTGACATGCTTGCAGCTTTCCACTGCGGATCTTGAGGCAACATGTAAGGCATATATCAAAAGAACAACCAGAGCAACTCCTATGAAAATCAAAGATTTCTTGCAAATGTCGCTGTAAGCCAATAGAAAAGAAACAAGTTACTAAGAGCATACTAATCTAAAAACGTGTGCTATTCATTACAACAACAATGTCCACGTATTTACAAGTATAGTCTTTCATCACGTTAACATCTCGCGTCTTGAGGCTTCACTTCTCCAAACTCCAGTCCTGTGAAATTAAATCAATAATAAGACATTCTCTTTGATATAAATGGTAGGTTCCAACTTTGGAAAAACTTCTCTTACTTTTAGTTTTTTTTTTGGAAAAAATGCAGATATGTTCAACAATATATTGACAATCCTTAATTAAACATAATAGCAAGAGATAGAACAATTCATTAACATTCAACAATCATTGCAAAAACAAGTGATAGAACAATTCATTAACACTAACCAGCAAGAAAAAGTACCTAAAATCTTTGCCTCGATCTCCTTCTCAGCAATTTGTTCATCATATATTTCCTTCATGTGTGGGAGAAGCCTCCGAAGAATATACTTAGAACACTGAATTTTTTCATCACTGGTGACTTTGAGGTCAGAAATAATCCCCTATATTTTATTGGGAGCTTTACTATAACAACCTTGAAAAATTAATTTTTGACCAAAATGATGCTCATCTTTGAAAATTACTCAAACAACCTTAAAATATTTATTATACCCGTTTTAGCCTAATTTCTTTTGAACACAAAAACGTATTTATAAAACTGCCACTAATGAGGCAGCAAAATGTTCCCGCCAAAAACGAACAAATTTACTGTTCAGGTGATGGTGGATTTATTTGCGATTGGTAGATATATTAAGTAGTTGGTAGATTTATTGATGGTTCGCAATCGTAGACTTACTTATAGTAGTGGTAGATTTTTAATATGTGATAAACTTATTTGTAGTAGTGGTAGAGTTAATTTTGTGATCGGTAGACTTATTTCTAGTAGTGGTAGAGTTAATTTTGTGATCGGTAGACTTATTGATGGTTCGCGCAGTCGTAGATTTATTTATAGTAGTGGTAGATTTATTTTTCAGTGATAGACTTATTAGTAGTAGTGGTAGAGTTATTTTGTGATCTGTAGACTTATTGATGGTTCGCGCAATGGTAGACTTATTTATAGTGGTGGTAGATTTATAAAATGTGGTAGACTTATTTGTAGTAGTGGTAGAGTTAATTTTGTGATCGGTAGACTTATTTCTAGTGGTGGTAGAGTTAATTTTGTGATCGGTAGACTTATTGATGGTTCGCGCAATCGTAGACTTATTTACAGTAGTGGTAGAGTTATTTTGTGATCGGTAGACTTATTGATGGTTCGCGCAATCGTAGACTTATTTATACTAGTGGTAGAGTTATAATATGTTGTAGATTTATTTATTGTAGTGGTAGATTTCTTCAATCTATTCACTTCTTTACTAAACAACCTTTAATTGGTAGATTTATTTATAGTAGTAGTAGATTTATAATATGTGGTAGACTTATTTGTAGTCGTGGTAGTGGTAAATTAATAATATGTAAACTTATTTGTAGTAATTGTAGATTTATAAATATGTAGTAGACTTATTTATAGTAGTGGTAGAGTTATTCAATAAAGGGTAAAATCGTAATTTACGGATCATCTTCTCCACACAACCAAACTTCTGTCAAACCCTAACAATGGCGGCCAACTACTTTTTAGCTCGTTTTTACTGTATTTTAACTTATTTTCAACTAGATTTAGCCTAAAACTAGTAGATCTACCATCATATATCTCTATTCTAACCAAAAATCAAAAGATTTCAAGTTTTTTTTTTGTTTTGCTTGTGATTTTCAATCCGATTTTATCTAAATCCGGTGGCACATCTCTGCCGAGCGCGTCTCCGGTGCTTCCGCAGCCTCCGCGCGGCCGCAGTTTCAAACAAATTTCTGATTTTTTTTTTTAAATAATTAAAATAGCATTTTTGTAATAAAACTTTTTACTAAAATTTATATATCTTTTATAACCAATCTTGTTTAAAAATTGTTTTAGTAATTATGTCATTTTTCAAAGTTGTTTTAGTAATTTTTCTTTTTTTATTAGGGCAATCATTATGCTCTGAACTTAAATAAAATTATAAAACTTTAACAAGGAGAGAGAAATGGTAGATACGATAAAAACTTACTTCCATTTTACTGGCTAGACGCATGCATGCTCTGTAATTGCAAATATAACAGCAGAATGGGCCTTGGCAATATTTTCTTCTGATATGTTAGGGTACCTATAAATAGTAATTAAATTCAAGGCTTCTGTAAAATCAATCCAAGACAAAACTGCAATAAATAAAATACGAATCTTGCTCTGTTCCTAAATAGACGAAAATATGCAGCCATCAAAAGGAACTGATGGTAACAAAGTTGACTTTTTATGTTTAATTTTATAATACCAATCAAAAGAAGTCAATAACAAGAATTCAAGTTTACGGGTAAATGTTATGGTAAGAAGAGCATACCAAGAGTTTAAACATGGGATACAATAACGGTTCTTCCTGCAATTCTGACATCGAACGACACGACCATTGTTGTTATATTGGACTCAGATGTTTCAGCATTTTCCTATAGTATAAACCCACCAAACAATAAGATACAGATTTCAAGACAAAGTCGAATGTTGTTATAACCTACGATTGATGAGCAAAGGAGAGAAATCACTGACCTTTGTAACTGTATCACTCGGCTTCTTACTTGAGTGAACTGGAATTTCAGCTTCCAACTTCTTCCGCTTCTTCTTTTCATTGCCAATTTTGCTCTCCGACTCGCCTTCGTAATCTTCTTCAGTCATCAAGTACATGTGATTCCTAACCTCAACAAATCTTCGAGCCATCAAATGGTGAACTGAATAACGAAGAACCCTATAAACGGGATTCGAGGCAGATTGGGTTCTTTTTGCTTGGGAAATAAAAAGTGGATTAATGGGTCAAAACCTTGCAAATTGGAGAAAAACCTCAGTAAAAGTACATATACGGTTTATCAGCATTTTATTTAATATTTTTGGTTAATTTTAGCACACTTTTTTACCAACCTATGATTAAAAAAAACCATTATATATATAATTATAAACTTACAAAACTATACTGTATATAACTATTACAATTTATTTAACGAATTATACTTAGTTGAATTAATATCAATCATATATAATTTACTTAAAAAGCAAATTATGTATACTTTGACGTGCATGTAATACTGTTTAAATGAATTTTGAATTATGTATAATTTCGTTTATGCGAATCATGTTATATAATTTCATAGTTTTTTAGATTAGTTTTAAAAGTGTACTGCTTTTTTTTTCTGTTAAAGTAAAAGATGGGAGCATTTGTTTTTATATCAAGATTTCCCATCTTTCTATAACGTAACATGGTATGGAAAATACTTGCATGAGTTGTCTAATACAACTGCCTAAACAACTGCCTAGTCCTTGAACAAGACATGGTCATATATGGAGTATATATATAATTAAGGGGATAAGACATTTTTTGAACTTATACTTATCCATGGTTAACATTAGTCTAATATGAAGTATATATTATTTTTAAGTGTTCCTACTGGATGTTTTCAACAACAAAAAAAAGTGTTCCTACTGGATAAAATCACACAACTCACACATAGTTCTCATCACCAAAAAGTAAAAATAAAAGTATAGGCTTGGTAATAATAGTTCCAAGTATGTGAACATCAAGTTTCGTGTTTTGGATAGATGGTGAAAACAACATCAACGTAGATTGTTATATTTGACTTCGAATATCCAAGATTTGCAGTTTGGAGCTATTTTCCTATTTCGGTGTGTAGAGTTATGCGATTGCGGAATTAACTCTTTAGTTCAATTGATTCAATCTGATTGCAGAAATAACGGACAAAACTAACTAGCCAATGAGACGTTGAAAATCCCATACGTCTATGAATGACTAAAGAAGATTTTTCCTCGGAAAATGGCAAGACTCTTATTGCAACAAACACAAAAGGAAAAACCGTCGTTCGCCTCAATGCATACTCAAACAAATGTTCATCTGACCGGCTACATACTCTATCAAGTAGCCATGTTGAAGTCGCACCAATGGATCTCATCAAAACCAATGGTACAGTAGTTGTGTTTGAGGGTCCACACAGACTCGAGACTAGTGAGACGTTTGTGGAGCTTATATAACTCATGTAAGAAACTCCAATTTATATTTGTAAGGATATTCACCATATGCTTCACTTAAGGAGAAAACGTGTACCGACCTTGACAAGGATGTTAAGGTCCACCAATGGCGGAGAACATTGCAACTGACTCCAACAAATCAGTGCTCCTAAACCAATCTGCCTTAGAGAGAAACTGTTGTAGGATATTGATATATTCACATTTTATCTCTTTTAACATTTGTTTTACCATGCTTTTAACCCATTTTTCATTTGCATTTAGGCATATATGGGAGTCTTTGGTTGTGTTTTACTTTCTTAGGTGTTTCCAATGGTGAAACAATAAGTTGAAGACTTTAAAACTTGTTTGGAGCCAAAATTAGAGAAAACCAAGAACCAACCAAGATTGAGTAAGAAGGGAGTGATGGAGATTAGGAGACAAATTTGAAAAATTCGGACAAGGCACATCACCTTAGTGCCATCGAGCTAGAGTAGGTCAATGCAAAAAAAAATAAAAAATGTTCCAGAGATTGCATCGACCTTGTGCATCAATCTCAAATACCCCGATGCGAACCACATTTCTCACGAATATGAAGATCCGACCCAGATCTAGATGGGTCGACCGAATCCATTCTAGTCTTATATTTTTTATATAATATAGTAAGATTTTTTTAAATTGATAGGTAAAAGATTTAAAAGAATAATTCTTTTTATTATGCTTAGAAAATAACTCAAAACTAAACACACTTTTCTCTTATTCCATTATCACAACTCAACAATGGTATATATAGTGCTAGCACAATTTTGCTATTTCTATTTTCTATTCCTAATAGAAATAGATAACTTCTATTTTCCATTCCTAATACAAATTAGAAAGCTTCCTTTTAAGTCTATCTTATCCTAACCGACTTGTTAGAGATTTTTTGGGCTTCAAGCTTTTAAAGCTTATCTA